GTGTGTGTGTGTGTGTGTGTGTGTGTGTGTGTGTGTGTGTGTGTTTTAAATCATCGGTGACACTCTAAATAGTTTGATTATGGAGTATTTTTAATAAATGCATGTTTACACCTCATAGAGCACCTAAAGGAACTGAGTGGCATTGGTGGAATTTTTTTTGTGCTAATTATACGCAGCTCTCCTTCCCTAACCATAAATACTACGACTGTAACTGAAGGCCAAATGTACCACACAGACAAGGTTTATATGTTTTTAAAGAAGCCTTTCTGTTTATTTACCCAGAGGAAAATTATTAACAGTGAAGGTTTTTTAGCTTTTTATCTAAACACTTCCTGTCAGTCTCAAATGTGTTCATCTGACGCCTGAAGGCTGAAACCTCTGAAGCTTTATGGTTTGTGTTTATATAACAATAAAAACCCTGTTCACAACCCACATTCAGCTGCCTCACAGGAGCAACTTTCTGATAGTGAAGCTTCTTTAATAATCCACTAGACCTAAATTCCAATTATGATTAATGAAGAAAACACAGTTAATACCAAAGTGTGACATAAACAATAAATCAATAATTTTATTATTTTGCTCCAACAGATTGAACCTATGTAATAATAACTGTTATTTGTATCACCTTTTTTCTACCACTTCTAGGCAAGGCAAGGCAAATTTATTTGTATAGCACAATTCAGTACAAAGACAATGCAAAGTGCTTTACATAATTAAAATATAGGAAAATAAAACAGAAACAAAGCAAGTAAGTAAGACTAATGGATGGGTTTATCTTTTCCTTTTACTCAGTTATTTCTTCCTCCGCTCAAGTTTCAATATTTAATATGTGCAGCTGGAGACAACTTCACAATAATATGCTTTTCTATGTGTATGCCATTTGGATACTATGTGAAAGAGTAATAAAAAACAGCACATTACACAGAGCTGCAAACAAAAATAAAACATATTGAAATAAATATTTGGCATTCATTTATATTCAACTACTGCTCAAATATTTCTAAAGGAAATCCTGTAACTTCCTGTCTCAGAAGTCAAATTATTCATAAAGAATTTATTTAAACCGGTGTGTTATTTTCATAATGAACACAGCAGAGTGCTTGTTAGATAAGATTGGTGAATAGAGTGAGAGAGATGCAATAAAGATCAAGAGAGCTGTGCAGAATATAAAAGCAGGTGAAGGCTTTAAAACAATATTCCAGATTTGACACTGTTCAGTTCCTCCTCAAAAAATAGAAACAGCTGCCCAAAAAAACAGTGATCAAGGAGAAAATAAACCAGAGATGCAACCAAACTGACAGGTTTTTAAAAACTGTGGAGCTTCTGCATTAGGCATAGTTTTCTTAACTTACAGCCTCAAAATGAGTGCGATTCAAGCAGTTGTACTCACCATGTGCTTCATGTCTATAAATGCTATAAGTCTTCGGGGACTCCACAGGTAAAATAAGGAGCAGTTTTAAATGTCTAAGTGAGCAAAGTTGCTCTGCGGACATCAAGAAACACCAGAGAGCTGTGCTTTAAAAACCCTAAAAAAAAATCCTGGATTCTTAGAAAAGTATGAAAATATCTTTTCACGTGAACATCAGAATATATAAAAAAAATAAAATAAATAAAAAGATGAAGTGTCTTCTGACCTTCAGAGTGTTGTCCAACAGGGACCATTACATTCTATGATGCAAAGGTCTTTGTAAGCCTTTGCTTCACGCTTATGAGGAAGAGTTTTTCTGACAATGATGATGCTTGAATTTAATATTACCCCCAACCTTTAAAAAAAGCAGAAATCCTTATTTTTCTCCTTCAAATCATTGACTTTGCTCTGTAGAAACCTGCTTTTTAAGTGGAGGTCGTCTCATATGTTGTGTGTTTGCAGACGGAGACCGAGATGTGACTCAGCAGAGTGTAGCACAGGTGAGGATTTCCCCTCATTGCTCAGTCCTGCCTAATCGGGTAAGAGCATTAAATGAAATGATCAATGCACAGAAGTACAAACATGTAACCATTTTTTCTTTCCTGCAAAACCACATCTGCAATACAACCCAGAGCAGATTCAAACTTAAGCTGAACTGAGGTATACAAATAAATGCATAAATAGAATATTTTGCACAGAGGCAACTAAAATTGTTGGTTGTATACATGAAATGATCAACTCATAGTCAGTTTGCAACAGAACAGGCTGGGGAGATGTATTCATTTGTTTCTCATGACTTTATTAGTTAATAACAATCATTGTTTATTTGTTGATTATCTGTCTGTCTTCTCAAACCTCTGGTCGGTCGTGGCAGAGAACTGTTCACATCCAGCCAGGTTCCATCAGAGGTTTCATTCTTTTAAGGAGGAATCTCCTCTCCTCTGTCACTACCTGCATGCTCTACATAGGAAATTCCTGCAATGTCGGATAGTATGCATGAGACTGTCAACTGATGCTACGTGCTCGTCCAGAAGGAATGAAAGCTGCAACAGCCTAATGCAATTTGCCGGGTTTCCTTAGAAAACATTTTAAGCCAATTTTGTTTACTATGGTTTAAATTAAATTACTTTGCAAAGTGTCTTGATATGACATGTTATTAATTATAATTAAATGAGTAGACTGAATATAATTCCACTGTTTCTTAAGATTAGTTGACATGCATGCTTGCATGACAGTACCACTCAGGCATATCTCAAAAGAAATAAAGACAATCAAAAATTACAGTTATCACTGGAGAAAAATAAGTTATACTTATTTTATTTACATTTCAATAAAGGTTTATCAAATAGTATGTATCTAGTTGGACATTTTTATAAAATGCTTAATTTTTATTACAGCAATCAAGCTTTTTGCACAGATATTCTATGGTATTTTAATGATTTACATTTGCTGACGAGGTCTATGTCTTCTGCCATCACCTTAATCTTTAACCTCATCCACCAATACTGTAAAGTCTTTGATCTAGGTAAACACACTTGCAAAATCACAATATAAAATTGGTCAGATGTATGAATAATTGTTTGCATTCATCCATGTAAAACAGTTTTAGTATATAGTTATATAGCAAATAAATATGTATTTTTTCTCTCTCTGTTCCACTGTGGAATGGTAGACTTTCAAAAATGAGCAACTAATCATTAATTCATAATAATAAGACTAAAATTACATGTTACTCAAGTTTGACATATGACATATTTTACTCAAAAATAACTTATCTTAATTTTTTTCTTTTTTTTAGTATTGCCGCAGTATGTTTGAATCTGGAGGCAAAAATGTTTTAAATTCTCAGCAGGTTCAAAGGGAAAAACAATAATTATAGGACTGAGCGCAGATTGATCAGCGTTTTAGCGATGAGCTCATGAGCATGTTTAAATCATCCTGTCATGTTGCATTCCAACAGGCACGCAGGTAAAAGCCACGCCCTTCTTCCTGCTGTCGTGATGCGTTCAATGCCGTCAGCGCTTCCTTGGCTGACTCAGAAGTAAACTTTAATATCCAAATAAACATTCAGTGAGATGTAAATATTTGATTACATTTTAACATTATTAATCTTCATTTAACCCCCAACATAAAACGAGTACAGATACCGGCGCGCGGATACAATAAGTGAACGTTTGAAGCTCGTTTTAAAATCTTGTGAAGTTGCACATCTCGCGGTGTTTCCTATCTCTGTGGAATCTCAGGTGGGCAGGCCGCGCGCACCTCAGCTCCACCCCTGCCGGTGATTCATCCCTCCAGCCTCACTTAAAAAGTCCTACCTGAGTCGTGTGTCGCAGAGAGAGCTGCCAGGTGGTTTCCTGCTGCCCTGTAAGATCTAAGGAAATCTTAATAAGGATCATCCACACTTCAAAGAGGATCCTGAAGAAGTGAGTTTCTCGCTTTAAATATTTAAATGTGACAGGGGGGATGCTTTTAAACGTATACAGCAGATAAACGCATTCTCTAAATAGTTTATAGTACATTAATCTGTTAATTATTTATTTGAGAGGTGTTTTTCTCACGAAGTGGTGCGTTTGTGTTTGCATGTGCGCGTGAAAGTCTAGTAACACAGCTGCAACGTAATATAACACCGTGTAGTTACATGCAAACACGAATTACAGTAACTGAGTGTCCTGTATTTCTGTGTTGACATCAGTTGTTATTCAGATTTTCAAAACATTCTGCTGTTACAATACAAATAATTATATATAAATTCTTTAAGGGAAGCTGGATATATTATTATTGTCATGGAGATTCAAGGCATATTTCTCCATCATACCGTTGCTGTGAGGTTAATAAAAAAGAGCAGCTGGAAGCATCGTTTCCTTGGTGACCGTGTCTCCAGCTGTATTTTTAGTAGGCTTATATTCTTTTCAATGTCAAATTTAATGATTAATCTGCTTTGGCTGTTTAGATCTTCACTAATATATATGTGTTATTATCTCTCTTTTTTTTAAATAATCTGCATAAATTGTTCTCCCCACCACAGACACGTTTGATTAAAGGCTGAGTAGATTTTATTTTTGCATTTACAGTCCTTGTTGTCTGCTCCCAGAGTTGGGAAATAATGAAATAAAGCCTCATGCAGGGCCCGCCTAAAGCAGCAGGAAGCAATCCTGTTGAAACTTGCCAGAGCAGGTGTAGTTGCAAGAAACTGCTTTTCTTTTTTTTGTCACTGTGTTCCTGGTACAGAGAGAAACAAACTGTTGAGAAAGGGACCCCCCCCCCCCCATGCACACACATAGAATTGTATATCCCCTTTGTACTTCTCTCTAGCAAGATACAAATTAATATCTCAAGGTTTTCAGTCCATGAAAAAGCTACTTTAGAGTCCAGAGTGTTCCTCCTGAGTCAGTAAATTTCCAGTAAGTGCAGAAACATGTGGAGCTAACAGCAGAGCAATTACTCCCAAAAAAAGAATTCACAGCTTAGACATCGGCATGTCAGAGCTCACATTGTGCGTGCAACTGTCTGTTTGTATGTATTTATCTGAACCCGCAACATCCACATAAACATGAACTCTTTGGAATAGGGAAGTACTCTTATCTCAAGTAAATCTGTGTTCGTGTGAGAAGCCTTTAAAAAAAAAAAACACACACACACACATAGCGCAAATATCCCTGACTCACATATGACAATAAATGTCATATAAAGTGGTTCATAGGTCTAGAAGATCTCATTTGAACCTGGACACACAATACAACTTTTTATTGTGTCACATAATGTGCACAAAGATGTAAAACAAAACTCTTGTGCATAAAATATGCATTTTATTTGTGGTGATTTTATTTAATAAAGCAAATATCCATGCAACCTTTTTTCGAGTCAAGCAAGCTTCCCCCTAAACACAAAGAAAAAATAATTTATTTCCTGATTTCAATAAATTTAAGAAAAGATGGGAAAATAAAACCCGTTTCCTGATTAGTCTGTTTTAATTATATAAAGACTCCTTTCTAAGGGTTTGGGATTTCAGTGAACAATAGGGACAGCAATTATCCAAAAAATGTAGAAAAAGGAGAGGTCTGTCTACCAGAATTACTCCAGGAGTGGACTAGGTCACCCTAAGGGAGCCAATGAAGAAACATCTAAAGGACTGTGGGTCTCAGTTAAAGAAACTGGACATGAGAGCCTCCCGTGGTGAAAAAAAAAAAAGGCTCACTAAAAAATGAAAACTATCAAACACGGTGGTGGTAGCATAATGGTCTGTGGATCCTTTGCTTCTTTTGAACTTGCTTAACTCTTTTAAATTGATGGAACTATAAATTCTGCTTGATAAGAGTAAATATTGAAGGAGGATGTGATTCATTTCTAACCTTTAGCTGAAGCAGACTCCTGTTATGCAGCAGAGCAGTGATCCAAAGCAGAATTCCCTTTTTGAATGGCTCAGAAAAACAAATTAAAAGATTGCATCTGCAATTGGATCTGATTGACATAACCTTAAACAGGTGGAAACCATCCCTATGTACCTCAATTAAAACTATTAGAAAACATGATTTTAAGTTTTGGCACTAGACAGTGTTGGTTTGGGTAGCTTGTTTTCCCTTTATTATAAAATTATCAAAAAATCCCTTATTGTGTTCAAGAAGATCTGTCTGATATAAAACGTTTTTTAGAGTAAAACGGGAAGAAAAAGTCTTAAAAGAAAAAAAAAACTTTGCGTCTTTTAAAACATCTTAAAACATGTTTCAGAAGGATGTTTGCTGCCTCTTTGGTTTCCCCCAAAAAAGAAATAGAAAATGTTTTTGTTTTTTTTCCCGGCAACCGCAAATATTTTTCTCCTGTTGAGTGGATGCTGGTTTGTTTGCCTCTTGGCTGTTTTGTATGTTGAATGGTGGCATTTAGAGTGAAACATTTTATACCGACCACATTAGTTCCAACCTGCCTATTTGCAGGAAAGTAATTTTTCATGTCTCTCTCTCTTTCTATATATATGTATGTATAATAACTGTGATTATATGACTCCAGTATTAGTACGTGTTGAACCCTTTTTGGCCCGATCATTGGTTCAGATCTGTCGTTCTAGAGAATCCAAATAGCTTAAAGAAAGTCAGAATTTTTAAAGAAAATAGACTGTTTTTTTTAATGAAAATCTGCAATTCAGTTAAACTAATATGCTATGTTCTAAGTAAAAAAATAATCTGAACAAAATTATGAAGGATAATGAAGAAAGCAGATCTGGTCTAAACCTTGTTATCAGTAAGAGGTTCATGCCTTGATTTGTTACTTTCCAAGCATAGATTAATCAAATAATCCAGTCATAAGATAAATCTTTAGTTTGAATATCATGTGTTGCTTTGGTGTCATTGTGTCGATTAAAATGTGATGTTTTCCCTCCATATCTCTCTGTTTTAGGTGTAAACAAGACTCCCTGCCAAGCCCTGTATTTATCGTACTTCATTAAGGACATGCTGTTGATTTCTCCCGGCTGGGTCAGTTTGTGACGACTTGAGCAAGATGAGGACTGGCGTCTGTTTGCTCGTGCTGTGTGTGCTGTCTGCAGCTGCCGTTCGTACCAGTAAGTTGAAACTTCCCGAATGATTGATATTTGTTGCAAACGATGAAGCAGTTTGAAAGATAAGTTCTGTCTAAAGTTAGAACTGGTATTTTTTACTCGTGCAGGTGACCTTAAAGAAGTGTTTGCCTGAAAGCGTACTGTTCATCTTTAGTCCCTGTATTCTCATCATTGACTCAGTGGTATGCGGTCTGTTTCCACTAATTAACTCAAAGGCTTTAGTTCTTGCTGTGAATCTGTAGCTAACAAAGAGCAGAGCTATAGAAAAGTAAGAGCATCGACTCAATGTGATGAATCCTATCAATGGATGTAGCTAACAGCCTTTTTTTTTCTCTTTTTTTTTCTATTGAAAGATAAAAAAGGACTGAGTGTGAGTGCTATAATATAACACCATATACGGCTACTCTGTGTATTTTGATTGAGATTATTTTAGGATTTGATATTATCTGTTAGGGCCTATTGCTCTCCTTCTCTGCCAAAAAAGGGAGATGGAGCTGAATTTTGTCATTTTATTTTATTTATTTATTTTTCAATATCACTCTAGCTTACAAAACCTTTCAGATCTGTCTCCTTTATGTCTTCAGTGTATAGATACAAACTAGAATTACAAGAATGTATTCGTGTTACAACAGTGGTTTCTAGAGAAATGTTGTTCCACTCGTTTTGACTAAAATGTTTCATATCAGCAACACTGGACAATATCCCAGTGTGAATAACGTGTTTAGGGTTATGCCATACACAGATTTTGACTTTAAAACCTCTATTTTGACCAACTGTAAGTCAGGCACGGACAGCCAGAGTGTTTGGATGTCCTGAAATGTGTCCTTGGATTTTTTTTTTTTGTTGGTTGATCGATCAGGGTTATAACTTTTTTGCCATAGGCAGGTGGATTTGCGGTAGCTTCTCGTTTTAATAATAGATTAATCATCCAGTTGCCCCCAAAACAGCTTTGGATAGCTAAAAAAACCCACTTCAAGACCGACCTAACTCTATATCCAAGTTCTAAAACCTTCACATATGAAATAGCCAAGATGGATGTGGTTAGGCAAGACAGTGGTGTTCACTATTTACTATTGAAGAGAGTAAAAGGTTAATGAGGTTAGAACATGGTGGAAAAGAAGCGAAAAAACAATTAATGAGCATAAAAAAGCAACTGGAAAAGACAAGCAATCAGAAAACATGATGGGAAATAATGAAAGAAAATTAGATTAAAAAAAAAACAACAAGAATAAACAAACAAAAGTTTATTAAAAGAAAAGGATGGAATAAGACCTTATTAATAAGAGCACAGAAAAGTCAACTGATGTGGCAAGGACATAATAAGCAGACAGGAACCCAAATGAAAACCAAAGCCAATGCTTCTTACCATCACACCCAGAGGATCTTACATCTTGACTGTGGCTCAAGGCACTGATGTGACGTTTTCATTATAATTCAGACCGCAGGTCATTTTTGATTGATGTCTTTAACATTACAGTTGTTTTGCCTGTTTAGAACTCTGAATTCATGGACCTCTGTAATCCGATATTAACTGATTGGACTGAGGGGAAGCATTAGAATAGCCTTGCTTGATTTAGAAAACCTTGCAACTTCATGGTGCAGGAGAAGAGCTTATTTAATTAACATATTATTTTATGACATTTTGATGCAAGTCTTAAAGTACTTTATGCATTCATCTCTACAGAGCTAAAATCATATGGTTAAAGAAACTTAATGTTCTTAAAAATTATTATCAGTTGGGAAAACTTAGTCTTAAGAAGCAGATGACACTGCTGTAATGGGTTAAAAGCTCTGAACACAGAGAAACGCTGGATAAAGGACTAAACAACTGTATGTTATTTTCTATGCAAGTTAACCAGCCTCGTAAACAGTTGCCTTACTGTACTGATGGGACCCAGGAGAGGAATTTGCATTCAGGAATGGTTTGTCATGTTTGTTGCCCAGGTACATCGCCACCAGGGAAACCCCGTATGGTTAGCTGCAGATCCCGAGACAAGGAGACGTTCTTCTGCTGGTGGGAGCCTGGCTCTGACGGAGGGCTGCCAACCACACACCGCCTCTACTTCATGAAAGAGAGGTCAGCTTATTCTTCATCTATAACCTTTTGATCTTTTGCTCTTGATTCAGCGGGTCACAGTAGAGGCAGACATTGGGGAAAAAGGGGAGGGATGAATGGCAAAATTCCTCAGCTGGGGTTTATAATCACTATATTTTTTTTTGTTTGTTCTAGCCACAAGGCCAGCAGATGGCCCATAGAGTCGCTGATAAGTTTATCAGCCACACTGATGAGAGTAAACCCCATTTTTAGTTGTAATGTGCTCCATAGAAACGCTGATGGAAAACTACTGATGGAAAAGTCCTTTGAGTGAGAAATGAGCACAAATTACATTGATGAATGAGTTTAAATCATTTTAAAACCTTAAAGCCTCACAGCTTATTACATTAAGAGTTCAAAATCAAACTCTAGTTAACAGCTTTCTATCGTGTTTTTAGAGCTTTTAAAAGTAAGACGTCTGTGTTCTATGCTTCAATGTAATGTACCAAACTACAATGCCTGGTGAGGAATATCTCCTCAGTTGCACAGAGAAAGTTTAATATACGTTCAAAGCTTCTTTTTAGACTTTCTTGAATTCCCTTATTGTTTTTCTTTGTACTTATTTTATTTATTTATTTTTTTGTCAGATTTCTCATATATTCTTCCCTGTCCTTTAAATCAGGAAAATGAAAAAGTAGAAGTCGGGATATGCTGAAGTCTGAAAGTAAACAGAGGAAACGATCAGATCAGTTTTTATTTATGGCACCTTTGAACATGAGAGGATCTTTAAGTGCTTTAATTTAAAAAAGAGAGCAAATCAAATGATTTTGATCAGATGATGTTTTCCTAAAATCTGCTTTAAATACGATAGAGTTGGTGTCCGTAATGGATTTCTGATTGCGTTTTGCATGTACAGATAACGACTTTGCAGATTTTTTTAAATTATTTTATGACAGCAGCAGGCAGATTTCTAACAGATCAGCAGCAAATATTACCTTTTTCTTTTTTTTAATGTGTTTTCTATTATTTTTTTCGAGTCCTGTATATATTTAAGGTTTATTGCTTTGATGTTTGGCGTTTGGCTTTGTCACTTTTTAATTTCCCTTTTTCACAGCTCTCCTGTGTTGTTTGCACTGGCAAAGCATAGGCATATGCACCATCTTTTAATGTGCTTAAAGGTTTTATTTTTTTTCTTTTTCAATAAAGGAAAAGTTGTTTTATTCTTTACCCAGCTTCATATAAAGATGAATTTGGCGCTTCCAAAAGCTGGAATGCAGAGTTCCTTTTGTTTTTCTTCAAATAAAGCCAAATCATTTTTCAGGCAAACCTCTCATGGATTGCGTGGAGGATATTAAAAATAGTCTCACCCTAAGCATAACACTTTTTTGTCACCATGCTGTGATCACCGTGGCACTGAGTCAATCCTTTGTCTCAAGTCTGCAGCTGATTCAGATTTTCAACGTAAATTTTTTTTTTTTATGATGATGATGATGATGATTTTTAATATGTCTATTTTTGCTTTGAAATTATCTTGCATCTCTGCTGACAATAAAAAAAATAATAATAATAATTGCCCTATGGGTTTTTGTAGGTCTAGGCGGTCCTCAGACAATAACATGATGATTCATCTTCTTAGAGCTTAAGAGGCCATAGATCAAGAATTATCAGTTTAAAATGTTGTTTTTTACTCGCTGAACAAACTCTGTTCAGTAGCAGGATTTGATAATCATACCCAGAGACTGTCTCACAGTTAAAATGAGACTTGAGACACAAAAGCCTCAGAAAGTCCTTGTTCTTTACTGGAGGAGCCTGAAGATGTTGGAGACCAAATACTCATTATGCTCCAAACGATTAGATGTATGTTTAAGACTAGATTCATTGATTTCTGAGCATCACCAGTTTGGCCAGTGTCAATCATTTATCTCAGTTAAATTTAGGCCACAGATCGCTCATAAAACACAAAGAAATCCACAGAGTAGAAAGTAGCTATGAAGGCAATTCATCGAGGTGGTAAAATCCATTCATCAGCGTAATTGGAAGCATAGATATATTCACATTCACTACAGCTTCAATAAATGAAGAATTTATATATATATATATATATATATAAAAAACTAACAGGCTGTTTGGTGCACATCCAACTCTGTGTGGTTTGACTCCTCCATAAAACTGGACGGGTACAAACTGCAACCAATAAAGAAGTCTGCAAGGATTTACAATCCGATCTGACTTCCATCCCCGTCAGAAAAGGTGCAGATAACATCTCTGCAGACACAAGGTCTGGGCAATAAATCCATATCAATGTATATCAAAATAAACACCTGATCAATATTAAAATGAGATGCGTCTGATACATTTTTCAGTAATAACACTGATCCAAAGATCAGAAATGGCCCCTCACCCTAACTCAGCAAGACTATGAAATGTTGTTCATTTCTTTAAACTGTTTAATTGGCTGGCCAAATTAAAAAGCTTGTGTTTAAATAGTGTTAGGTATGATGAAGCTGTAATGGTAACGGTTATGGTAAGGTTCACGGTTAGGCTGTAAAAAAGTGTTTGAAATTAATGGAAGTCAATGGAGAGTCCCCACAAGAATAGAGAAACGTGATTGTAGGTGTGCATGGTCATTAATTTTTTTTTTTTTTACAAACTGTCTTTTGCATGAGCTATAAAGTTCAATTTGGCTCTTATCTAAACAAACCACATTTTTTTAGATGTTTGCACTTTCTCCTTCATAGTTTGTGGCATAAAATCAGCTTTACTTCTTACACTCTTTCAGATAGGCTAGACTGATGACCAGGAACAGAAAGAGGTGCCTGTCTTTTTCTAAGTAGTGCCGATCGGAGAGCAGAAGTCCAGTCTATGTTGGATAGAGCTGTGCAATATGACTGAAAAATATATCACCAAATAAGCCTTTCATAACAGACAATTTTGATAATTCTTGATTATTGTTTTTTTCACCTATTTGAAAAAGGGACCACAGGGATAAAAAAAAAATTCTAACCCCAACATAAACTCAATTCATACCCAAGTCTTAAACCTAACACATAACCTTTAAACAGCATTAACCCATCAGGACCCCGCATCGGTCCCCACTAGAGCAGCCGGTTTGTTATGATTTATGGAAGATGATCATAATAATGTAAGAAATGTCCGCCCGCACACACACCCTGCTGTGATACATGGAAATGGCAGCATTATGCTGATGGGGGGCTTTTTTTTAAAAAATGACCTATACCCAACTTAGAATCTGTATAAGGATAGAAAATTAACATTCTTTTAATAGGATTAAGCTGAACTGTTTTTATTTATTTTTTTGGAGAATATTGAGCTAAAATTGAATTCTCTAGATGAAGAAAGCTGGGAGAGACAAACCCCAAGAGATTTGCAACTATAACTGCTCCTAAAGTTGAATATTGACTCACAGTAGTGAGGTGAGAAAACATGGAAAAAAAGGGAACATTTTCACAAAGCTGTATGTGTGAGAAGGACGCTGCTTGTTGCTGCAGATAACATATCCAGCTTCAAATCATGTTTGTTGTTCTTGGGAAAGCTCTGTTGAACCTCTTTCAATTCTCACGCTCCACTTTCCTTTAACTAAAGTGATTGTGAGGACATAGTTTTATTAATATATAATAAAAAGGTAGTAGCGCTGTAGCTATATAGTGTGACTGATTCTGTTGGTATGTTTTCTTTTTTGCACTGAAGCCATTCAGGATGTAATGTCTAACTTATAAAAGTTTTTCCATCGTAATGCTAGAAATGTGCATTTATCTGGTTGATGTAATGGTTGATGTAATGTATCTGGTTGAGACACTTTTCACATTTCAGTTCTGGGCTGATGCAGAGATTACTTTGCCAATATCCGTCCTTCCTCCTATTTGTTCCCCTTTCATGCAGCTCACTGATGCCTATTAATAAAAGCACAGTAGCTTTGGTCAGTATTTCCTATTTTTGTTTTTGTTATGACTTAGATCAAAGACATAAACTCAACCTATTCAGTCTCTTTTAGTTTTAGATTTGTTTTGATAATGTGCAGAGAGGTTAGTTAATTAACCTGAGTTAATGCTGTTTTCTGACTGTGCTTCCTGGTTTCTTTGCCTGGCAGTAAAGCCTGACCCTCCCATGAATGTCACGGTGCTGGCCAACAGCAGCGCTCCCAGTCCGCAACTGGAAATAAAATGGGAAAGCCCGCCAGACGCCGATATCAAATCCGGCTGGGTCACCGCAACATATGAGCTCAGGTTTAAACCAAAAGACAGTAAGGAGTGGAAGGTGAGTTTTTATATGTGACAGATTCCAAATTGGGTTGACTTGAAGCTGAGAGGTTCACCATGTTTGTTAGTTCGCCAAAATAAGGGCCCTCAAGGTGATGTCTTATAAATCATTTACAGAAATGGTCCTTGGGTTTCTGACTAAAGCAGTCACAACAGATTGTAATCAGATATGTTGAATTTTTTTTTTTTTTTTTTATGTGCAGCTGAGGAGAGTTTTCTGTAGGTGGCTTTATTTCGCACTGAATTGTCGCTGTTAAAATAGTATTTTAATGCACTGCAGTTCTGCTGTGATTCAGGCTGTTCTGGTAGTATGCAGCTTTAATTCAATCCAGTTTATTTCCAGAGCGCCAATTCACAACATGTGTCGTCTAAAGGCACATTACAGAAACAATTCAGCCAGATCATACAGTCAGATTGGTTCAAAATTTTCTAAGGAAAACCAGCTGATTGCATCGACTCATTGCCTCTAAACCAAACCCTCACACAAAGCATGCTTGTAGCGACAGTGGAGAGGAAAACTCTCTTTTAACAGGAAGAAACCTCCAGGCTTCTTTTGGATAATATTTAAACAAAGTAAAATTTCAAAAATAATTAAAATGATGTATGAAATAATTTTTTGTTTTCTCTTTTTTACACAGAGTAGAGGAGTTCAAAAAGAGACTTATGCAAAGCTGCAATTGGATCCCGGGGTCCTCTACATGATTCAGGTGCGCTGTAAGCTAGACCACGGCAACTGGAGTGAGTGGACCAACACCATATTTTCTGAAATCCCTAAACGTAAGTCTTCAAAACTCCCATCCTGCTCCACCTCACACCCATTTGGCTTATTGGTACTGAAAATCTTTTTTTTTTTTTTTTTTTCCTGTGTTCTTCTTAGTGCCTCTGATTGACAAATCATTGTGGATTCTGGTCTTTGTTTTCTCCTTGATTCCCTTGTTGGCAACTATAGCCATCTTAGTGCTGAAGAGGAAACTGTAAGTAACAGAAAATTTATTTGGTTTAATGTCTCTGCAATTTTAGAACCAAGACCTGATCACAGTATTGGGGTCTGTTGTTGCTATTTTCCTGATATTCCTACCTAACCAGCCATACAGGTTTTCTCTCCCTTGCCTCTTTATGAGATGTGACATGTTACCTCAGGTCTTTAAAGTCAGTTAGGCCTTACGGTTAATTAGTTTGGGTTGTCCATTTCTAGGAAGAGTTTCACTTTATGAACATTTTTCTCACTTTACCATAATGGGCATAAAATTACCTTAAATCGCTTCCCAGGTTTATGGGCAGCAACAGTTTATTTTAACACAAACCTGCCTGCTCCTGACCTGCTACCTCTGTAGAGGGAATCATATTTTTCGTTACTTTCTTCCTACATTTAGAAGCAGCTTTGACATTTGGGTGCATCTTTGCTCGATACCTGATAACTAGATCCTATTCTTGTGTGTTTTATTCACAATTTAATCAAGCTTAAAATAGAGAAATTTATCTTAATTATGTAAGATTGATTGCATCAAATGATTTTTTTGTTTTTTTCTTTTTCCTCAGTTTGAAGCAGTGGTTCCTACCTCCTGTTCCTGGTCCAAAGATAAGAGGAATTGATGTTCAGCTTCTTAAGGTAAACAACCCCAAAAGTAAAAATAAATGAATAAAAAATCCTGTTTCTTTGACCTTTTTAATAATGTACTGATTTAAATTGTTTAGAGTGGCCGATCTGAAGACATTGCAAATGCCCTCATCACCAGCCAGAACTTTCCTCCCATGATAGCGTGGATCGACCAGGTGGAGGACTACTTGTTGGTGTCAGACAGTGACGAATGGCTTATCAATGACCTATATTTATCTCAACAAAAGAAGAAAGTCTTCGCTAATGCCAGTGGCTTACACCTTGACTCAGAAATTCCCCGCGGCGAGGTGACCCCTGTAAAGAATGCCCGAGAAAAAGCTGAGGACAGTTTGGATAAAACGGACACGTTTGAAAGCTCCAATGAGAGTGATGTATTAAATATGGATCGGACGCAGCTGCCTGTTGAGAAACAGGAATGTGTGAGTGAGGAAAAAGCATCTCTAACAAACACCAACCAGCCCCTGCCTAACACCTGCTATGTGGATATTCAGCCACGCGAGACGTCCTGGGAAGCTGGAACACAGTCTGACTATAGCAAAGTGAAAGAGGTGAATGGCGAGAGCATCCTCATCTTCAACAACGAAAACATCCCGCAGGAGGTGAACGCGCCTGATGAATACAGCAGGGTCAAAGAGGTGAACAGTGAGGGAGTTTTCCTGCAGAAACATGACTCGTCTGACCCCTACTGTAAGAAAAAAGAAGACCAGTACATAGAGTGGATCAATCAGAAGCCAAAAATGCCTCATGACAGCGAGCTCAACAAAGGCTTCTGCTTGGAAATGATTGGAAATGGATACGTAGATTCTCCTGCTGGTTTTATTGTGAAGTGATCCATTGAGATGGGACAGTCGGATCGGTCCGGATTAACTGAGTCACTGGGCAGATGATGCAATGTTATCTGATTATTGCTATCGGCAACTAATTGCACGGTTTTGAAAAGGACAGACTTATTTATGGGATGCACCGGCTGCTCTCCACAGTGGAATGTATTTATCTTGACTGAGGAAGAAAAATGAAATTACTTTGACTTTTGAAGTTTCCGCTCAAACGATGAAAGTGGTTCAGCTGGACATCTGTGAAATTGATTTTTTTTTTTTTTTTTTTTTAAAGAGAAACAAAAAATGTTCTGGCGGACATTTTTCCTGGTAGTGTGACATTTTCTAGTGGGTTGTTATGGTCACCTCAACGGTTCAACCTCATTCTTTAACCAGAAGAAAAGCATCAGGTCAAAACGACCTACCTGCAAATCTAAAAACCCTTCTACCACCCTCAGCTGCTCCTGAATGTAATTCTTTGTTTAATATAACAGCCTGCTGTCAAGTAAAAGCTTTTAATCAAACTGTAGAGAACTGGTACAGCCTCAAAATGGATCTTCAACACCAAACATTTTAAGCTGAAAAAGAGTCGTAATAAAGGAACTTAATGAATATCGTCTGTTGTTTGTGCTTGTCTACGGTCAAACCTTTTGGGTCTGGTTTATCTGAGAGGTGTGCACCTGATAAACCTGTCTGCCTGGTTTTTTGTTTTCAGACTCATTGCACTCATTATCGACAGCGTTAACATGTTTAACGGCGTTAACAACAGCTGGTAACAAATTCTAATGTGAGAATCTAACATGCTTAGCTTTTATTCTTCCCACTGGATGGGACCACTGTCATTGAAATCTCAAATAAAACAAATCACTCTCACGCTTTGGTTGTCTTCTTCAGAGAGAGTGCTTATTTTGAAAGAAATTCTTCTGATTTAATGTTAATTTGACCCAGACAAGTTTACTTTATGAGATTTTATTTTATTCTTTGTGACTTCAGAGTCATTTATGGCCCAAGTTTGAACTTTCTGGCTGATGTTTTGAAATCTTATTGATATTCCCTTGCTATCCATGCTATGAAGTCAACCAGTTTGGTTTCAATATGGTCGCACCGCAGGATGTCTTCACCTCTGTATAATTTACCCCTTTTTCTTCCAAATCCGAGATTAACCAAACCTTTAAGGTTTAGTTTCATCAGCCATTTATTTCCCAAAAGATTTAGGACGTTGTCCCTGATGGACTTCTGAAATGTTAGTGTGTGGTTTTTTTTGTGATTTTGGGGCATCTTAGAAGCTTAGATTTTCACCTTAGAAGTCTTACAGGGCATGATGGTTTATGACTCGATTCACTTTTGATAATAACACTATTCTACCAGCTTTAGCCAGGAGCTTCTCAAGAGCTTTTGCTTTTTTTCTATATGCACACATTTTGCACCAAAACGTGTTCTGTGGGGTCTATACCTGCATAGGATTGATTGGACATATAAACGTGGCATCTTCAAACAGGACTATGACGGAGAATTAAGCAGACTCATGGAGGTGGACAGTTTTTCGTCCTGATAGCTTTCTGATTTCCCTTTTTTTGCCTTGATGTCACAGAAGGATGTATTTTAAATGTCCGCTGGAGGCTTAAAAAGAGACATACGGAGTGGGCTAAAATTGAATCAGATGTTTGGAATCTGCATATTAGAAGCTTTGGAAGTCATCAAATTGTTATATTGTTTTTCACAAAATATACAATTAATATGAGCTTCTGACCTTAAAAAAGGCATAACATTTCAGCCTTATTATTGATTAGCAAAGAAAAAGTTTACTTTGAAAGACAGATTTATGGCTTTACACAGAAGAGCCCGGTCGTCATGGCGAAGATGCAGCTGTGCACTTCAGGCTCAGGGATAAGAGGCAGTCTTTTGAGGATAATTTGTTCATATATAACAAAAAAACTTCACAGTTAGCTTCCTTCATGTTACAAACCATCACTCATTCAAACCATGACACCAGCAAGGCGTTATTGTTAAGGGGGTCTAGATCTGCAGAGCCTAGATCTGCAGATCTGACTAAAAAGTCTGGAAGTTATCCAAGCTCAGATTTAAGAGAAGCCACCTGAATATTTCTGACCACAGGTTAAGTCCAGTTGTTTTTTCTTTCTCTCTCTTTCTTTTTTGGGGCCTCCTGATCTGGAAACCAAACTTTTTGTATATGTGAATATTTTGTGAAAAAAAAAAAAGAAAAAGATTTTGTGTTGAAACCATTTCACAACTCTTTAAAATATAAGTTGCACATCCGAAACAGGAAGATATGTAAAACAGGAAAGGATTGTGTCGCTTCATGATCTATACAAAGTGCCAACAGACAAGATTTCATCACTATCGGGGAAGTTAGCACAACGTTTTAAAGATCCACTATCAGCAAAACAACAAAGCTGCAGCATGAGACATGAAGTGTATTTTAAAGCACAAAATCTCCCATTCAAAGAAAAACCTGTACTGTAGTAATACATCAAATCACAAAGCTTGCAGAGGACTAAAACATTAGTATTGAGAAATATTTTGTTATAACAATAAGTAGAATTTTTTTCAGTGATGTAAAAAACATGATGCAACTCAGCGTTATGCACTCTGAAGCAGGTTTTGAAACATGTCAGTAATATATATCTATATATGTATAGAATTGTATTTATGTAGAACAATGAACTCCAAATCTAAGCCAAAGCACATTGCAAAGCATGGTAGAAAAGTATCATGCAATGTGGAAGTGTTTTATATTACGGTGTTTGAAGTAGTTACTCAATGTAAATAACAAATGGATAGGAAATCCATTCTTGAAAAGGATTTCCCCAAAGACACCAGTATGAAGCCAGCATCTTGGTTTCAAATAGAATAAATTAAATTTGTAGAGTGACCAGCCTAAATCTGAGACTAAATCCAACCAGAAACTTCTGTTCCGTTTGTAAGGCAAAAAATCTCTATCAAAACTTGAACATGTGTGTAGCCCAATTATCTGAGGCAGGATTACCTGTGAACTGCTACCAGCAACTGTTATCCTGAGTTTACACATTCTTCATGAATCCCGTTTACTGCACATCTATTTAAAAAGGCATTACAGCCTCCAACGTTGTGGTCCAAAACAATTCAGAGAATTTATTATCTGCATTTGGGACACTAACTGCTTTGGAAAGGTACTTATTTTCTATTAAACCTTTATTTAACTATATAAAAGACCCATTTAGATTAGGACATTTTCTACAAGTATGCAGATTTTGAAAGAAATTGCTTATCTTACTCAGATCAGAGAAATTGCTTAGGTTTACAGAATGGCAGCTGCTCACCTCTGGGCTCACCTCTCAGGATGTGGCTCCGATTAACAGTTAAAAAGGCATTTTATACATCTCCAGTCTGGCATATCATCATATTTTACATCATACACACTAGCAGATGATTAGACATCCATGGCTCCAGCCTTATCAAAATAGGACGCCGCTCTCATTCCATTTCCAAATCTTTGCCAAGTACAAAATGAAGATTATAACTGTAAATCCAGACAGAAGAATTGTCCTAATTAGATTAGAACATCAGTTCAACAGGCAGCCCATACAAGGGTGTGATAAACTCACACATATTTAATGATAATTATCCTAGCCGTTCAAACACGTGGAGCAGATGAATTTGGATAATGGCTTTCTCTAAATAGAGCTTAAACTTTGGATTATTTAAGACAAATTAAATTAAGGAGATGCTTTTATTGTGGCACTGCCAAAAATATTCCAGTGTCTCTGTTTTTGAATTCTCTACCTTGGAACAGGCATGGTCTCTGAAGTTTTCAATTTCTTTTTATAATATATTTAACAGAGCCTGTTTATAAATCAGCAGCAAGAATTCATCATAGAAACAAAAATCTAGGTCAGGATGGCGTATAACTGATATAAAGCCTCCTTTGATAATGGTGGGATAAGTCTTTCTGTTAAGCTCATATAAAAGCAACAACAAATAAAGGTTGAAAGGATTTTATTTTTTATTATTATTTTTTTGCTTATCAGATGCCCCTTTTAAAGGTTCCTGGGCCTCATCTAAGCAGAACCAGAGGCTTACTGCTTCCATGTCTCAATGCACTGATGCAATAATTCCTTTATGCAAAAATATTTATTTTTCTGTTGCATTGGTCTAACTATATGGAATATTCAAAACTTCTGCAGAACTGAATTTGAGGTTTTGAATCAACATAAAAAAAATAGAAATATATCACTCTTTAAACAATATGTCTACATAAGCTTCCTATTTTATATTGCTCAGGTAAACATGCTCTTTATTGATAATCGAATATTCTGAGATACTTTTGTTCATACATACAGAATACTTAACATTTTTATAACAATGACAGACATTTCTATACTGGTCAAAATTCATTGTAAATCCTACTAAAGGTTAAAACAGAAAAAGGTGACTTTTAGTCAACAGGATCAGGGATAAAGTCTGGAAATGTTTCTCCATTTTCTATGTTCTGCTTCCATGTTTCAGTTTGTTCAGAAAATAAAACAAGGAACATCGGTTTGATACACATTCTTTATTCAAGACAAACCTCGGCTCTGTCACCTGAAATAATCAACTCTAAGGTGTATCCAAAACAGTATTTATAGAAATACATGTCATCAGTGAAGAAAGATTAATCAAGGAATATTGCATCTAAATCCTATTTTAGCAGCTTGAACCATATAAACTCACCACAGACACGTTTATTTAGCTTTTAGAAAGTGTAGGAAGATGCTCTTCCTTGGAGTATTATCAGAGGAAATAAAATCATATGCAGAATACCTTTCTTAAGCAGAAAGGCTACTGTAATTTAGTATTTAAATAGATTTTCATAATGCAGACACTTTGGGAGCAAATTGATTAAAAGTTTGTTTTTTCCCCCCCAATGATTGGCCAAAGATTCCATAATTACAGTCACCTCTCAGCAGCAGGAACTTGGTTTTAATCTCTGCCGATATGTCCTTGAGCACAGCTTTAACTCCAGCTAACTGAATGTAAATTATTTTGCAATTACTAGAATTAGATTGTCCATAACTTTTGTTTCTAACATTTCAAGTTAGCAGTTTGTGGTAAAGTCCTTTGAAATAAAAAATCATTCAAACAAATATTGTCCATTAGACACAGCTAAACATCATTGTTCTCATGTTAGAGTAGATCCCAACATGCTTTTTAACCAGATGAGAGGCTGTTTCCCAACTTAAAGTCTGACGCTTTATAATCTTACTCCAATTTTATGAGATGAAATAAAAACTTTAATGAAAGAGTAAATATGGAATTAAGTCCTTTTGTCTCAATCTTACCAACATGTTCTTTCTTAGGTCAAAAAATATTCATCAATGTGGCATCAGTTACCGACGGTAAAATATCAAAGATAAGAAGTGATCTCTAAAGGTTTTCTACCAACGGCTAAGAAACTAACCCAAACACCAAGCAACAAAAGGAAACAGAGGTCTGGTTAAGATTTTTACTCAAGACTTCAGAAGAATAACTCCAGGTTTGTAAACAGGAGGAATGTGAATGAAGTATTTTCCCTAATAAAAATCATGTTTTGCAGATATCTGGGTTATTATACCCCTCCCTCTATTCCGCTGTATAGAAGACGTGAGAAAAATCCCAAACTAAATTCATTCTAAACAGTAATGACCTTTTATTCTGTTGTAATTCTAATTTGTAAATACATTTTTCAGTTATTATCCTCTTATATTTGTAATTTTTCCTCTAAGTTATTAATAGTAACATAATTGCATATTTGATCATGATTATCAATTATAACCCAAGGTTACACTAACTTACCCTCTTTTAACACTATCATCTCAATACTTGTTTTCTTAATATTATTTTTCTATATTAGAAGATTATCAGGTGAAATTTTTATTCACAATTTTAATTTTAAAAATTATCTATATTTCTAAAAACAAAAAGTTTTATTTTACACAATAGGGCTTTATCCTTGATTTTCAAACATAAAAAAAAAAAAGATTTAACATCTTGGTGAAAAAAGTAATGTGATCTTTTTTGTTAAGAAATCATACACGATCTTTGCTTAACGGCCCTTGGGGGGAAAAAAAGGAGTGTAAACCAAAACTGTAAACCTGTTCAGCTATTACTAAGCGAAAAAAGGAAAAAAGAAAAATATGTCTTTAAATCCTCTGCCAATGATTCCTATGAAATAACTTTACTAACCTATAAATACTCTTAACCTGAGGTTTAGATGACATCATGCAGAAGCATACACCTCGCACCCACCTGTAAGAGTGGGAAAAGATACAAGATCATATGCAAACTTAATAAACCAGGAATCAGCTACGAGAAATCTGATTCCCGCCTACACCGGCTAATCAGTGATCAGATTAGTAAATAAAAAGTAGATTTAGCCAAAATGGGACTGAAAGTAGCTGGACAAGAACTCATATGTAAATGTCGTAGTTACAAAGAGGGGGAAGGCTTAAGTGATGCGCTTTGGGACACCAGGTCTCTGTAACAACTAACAAAGCAAGCCAAGCTGTTTGGAAACATTTGAGGGAATAAAATCCCTTTTCTGCCCAATGCTTAAAATATAAACATAAGACTTAAGGTGGATTTGTGCTCTTTGGTCAAGTGAGATTACAATCATTTCCAGCTACAAACAATCCGGTATTAGGTACAGGAGAGAAGAAGTGATGCTGTGGGCTTCACCATATGATCGCAAAATAAAGAAAAACAGAAATGGATTATGCAGGTTTCTGGAGCCATTCTGTAGTTTTCAAAGAGGTTTCAGCCAGTATAAAAGGAGCTGTGTGAATATGCTGGCTTGCTGTTCAAAGCTTGATACCAAGAGCCAAACTAATTCATGTGTTGCATAGACGGTCTGCAAAAACTAAAACTTTAGGAGGAGGATCCGTGCAAACAGATCTCAGCAAGACAGAATCAATATCCTCATTCTTTGAACAGAAATTTCTTTTGGAATAAGAGCAATAAGGACGGTATTTCAATGTAATGAAATTCTAAACTAATACTGAATGAGGAACCTATAGATGTTGATAAATAAATTTTAAAGTAACATCATTTAGAGACATTGCTGACCATACAGCTCCTTTGCAGACTTTTCTCCATGTTTTCACAGGGTTATTCTTCTGGTTTTGAATCACATCCATTGTCTCCTCTTTACAAAACAAAACTTTCCACTGACCTATAAACAATTTATAAACCTGTTATTTAAGATGTTTAAACTTTACAAATCAGTTACCGTAGTAGATACTTTTTATGCCCTACTGCACAACCCCCTGGTTTAGAAGGCACTGCTCACTTTAACAACTCACCAGCTTAATTAATAACTAGTTCATAGCCATGTTTACTTATTTCTAATTAGAGGTAACCCTTTCAGTTCCTACAACTCATCCAAAAATCAAATATAGCCATTATGTGAAAATGATTGCTTTGCAATATAATGCTGTATCATCAATACAAAAAATACTCAAAAACAAAAAACAAAACACATCCTACACATTCTGCATGAATGGTCACAGTCATGATGGGTCAAAGTTCATAGTGTGAGGCTTTATACCTGCTTCCATCCCTGAAAGAGTTCATGGAATTCATAAATCACACACACACAAAAAAAGAAAACCAAACTAAGGTCTTGTCTGGGTGTAGCCCCTAAATATTTTTTTTTTCTTCTTTTATAGCCGAGGAAACATTCGCTGCAGTCAACTCCTCTCTTCTTCAGGGATTTCTGTACATTCACTGTCCAGGAGCTGCTCCGCATGGCTCAGGAAAGCACGGCTGCTTTCATCCTCCAGAATCTTCTCCCACAATTTAACTGAGAAGAAAATGGAGGCAGTGCGGGATTATTATGAGCCTTGAATCAACAACATTTAACTGGAATAAAAAAATAAATATACACATTTTAAGTGATGCACCCAGAAATTAGCTTGGTACCAAAATGAACAGATATTTAAGCTTAGAGGTATAGTGAAGGATTTTTGCAAAATTTTGAAAAGACCCGTCCTCAACAGTTTAAAAAAAAAANTATATATATATATATATATATATATATATATATATAAAATAGAATTCCACTTTACTGTCATTACATTGTAACAAGTAAAAAAAAAAAAAAAAACTAAATTCACTCACTGCATTTAACCCATCCCCTTGGGGAGCAGTGGGCTGCCATTGTGCGGTGCCCAGGGAGCAGTGTGGGGTTCAGGGTCTTTGCTCAGGGACCCAGAGTGGCAGTCTGTGGAAGTGGGGCTTGAACTCAGAACCTCTTGGATCCAAGCTCAACTCCCTACCTACTAGGCCACCACTTCTCGTAACCCTTTACCTGCTCCAGAGTGGGAACACCTATTAAACGTGAGAGCATACACTCTCTTTTGCACTCTCTGTTTAAAAGTTGCTGTTTGCATCGCTCATGCAAGCTTACTTTCCAAAGGAAGATTTGCAATTTCTCCACCGGTAAGTGAAACGAGCATGTAAGATGGCCTTACATAAACATATCACCAGAATGATGGACAATTAGAAGGACCACTTATTTTGATGATCCGCCCGGAAAAAGAACATCCTCCAATTTACCTTAAATTGGCCCAGTAAAGTTATAAGCCCGCTGGAATCTGAAAACGTTTTAAGTTTTACAGGGAAATCTCCAAATCCAACACACAAGTTCTTCTTAGGGGAAAAACTGTTTGGAGCAGAAGTGGAGTTCATACTTAAACTTAACTAAATTCACTGCCTATAACAGTGCTTAAAATCAAATAAAACGAAACACTTTTATGAATTCTTGCCTAATTCATTTAAGCAGCTTAAATGAATTAGGCAAGAATTCATAAAAGTGTTTAGTTTTATTTGATTTTAAGCACTGAGAGAGGGAGTCCTGTTTAATTGGACATGTACCATCCTCTCTACCCCCTATGTATGCGGAGAAGGGGGTAAGACTTATATTTTCTATCTCTTTAAATGTTCCTCTTTAAAGATCCATAAATAAGAAGCTGTAACTTACAGTACTGAGGTTTCTCTGACCACCCGGTGTCAGGTCCAGGCTCGGACTCCTCAGACAGGCTGTTTATTTGCTCTGCATTTGCATCATCCTCCGTTTCCAGGCTGGTCAGCATCACTTCGTAGGCTCTCCTAGCCTCAGATGACAATTCAATCATCTTGTGATAAAAGTCCTGTTGTGATTAAAGCAAATCTCTTCATTTAAAAACTATTGAGGCATCTATTATAAATGTTTACTTTTTAAAAAAAAAGATTTAACATGCACACGTGCCAAAGCTACCCCTGACCTGTGCACCGTCGTAGTTGAAGATGCCCACGAGGCTGACGGGTACAGCCTTGTTGACACAGCGGCCCAACGCTTTCCTGGAAAGTGCGAATACGAACGGCACACCCTGCTCGCGACACATGTTGATGATCGTGTGCAGAACCTCATCCAGTCCACCTGTGAAGGCAATATTTTTTCTATAAACATGCAGTTATAACTCCTTCCAGCTTCGGCAACGGCATGCCTGTCTGGGACTCTCTGCTATCGATGTTTTATTTGTACACATTTATGACGCAGTACCTTTTGTTTCCCTTTAACCTACATCTGAAAACAAAGTTCGTGTCCACATCAAAATGGAAGCGCCACAAAATTACTCACAGGAACGAAAAATCTCTGATCTTGAAAAAAACATAAGAAGAAATCTTAACCAATGCATCAGGTAAGAAAAGGAGAAAAGCCAGAACACAGAATCCTGATTTACTGCAAATGCTGAAATGTAAGGGCCGGTCAGACCCTGGACCAAACTGTGGTCAAGTTGCTTTGCCGCTTCAAATCTTTGGATGCTCGGCGCTCTAGTTGTTTATCTGCTCTGTTCTGTAGCTTCAAGCTAGAGAGCAGCTTGGCTTTCTTTACGAGTTGGAAAAATAGCTTTGACACATTTATGAGCAAGAAAGTCCACCTCCAAACATCCTCTGTGCAATCAGTTCATCCGGATTATGATCCCACTAAAATACTGTGTGCAGTTCTTGTTCAGAGAGCCAGACCCCCAGCATACCGCCGGGAGGCAGCGCTGGACATCCCCGCTGGGAGAGCTCTGCTGCCGGTGTTATACAGAGAATTATCTCCCCCTCTTGGGAGATGAGAAAACAGATTGAAATATGAACGAAAAAGGGAACTTTTAAACATATTCTTATTATTTTCATATTTCTAATGCATGGATGTTCTGAAATTGAAAGTTGTGGTGGACAGATAAATGCCAAGAATTACCCCCCTGTCGTAGGAGCGAGTGTTGCCCTAAACTCTCTCACACTGATGAGAAAACAGATTTAAATATGAATGAAAAAGGGAACTTTTAAACATATTCTTAATGTTCTTTTCAGAAATTATCTAGAATGGTGTTCGTGGCAAAAGAGGGAAATGCCAGCCATTGAGTAGAGAACATATTAATCGGAAACTGACTGCAGCACATCGACTAAAACGTGTCTCTATAAAAGTAAAAATCGTATTCGTTCAAATTTATGTGTCCACCAAAACTTTCAATTTTAGGACATCCATGCATAAGAAATATAACAACATTAAGAATATGATTAAAAGTTCCATTTTCGTTCAGATTTCAATCTGTTTTCTCATCAGTGTGCGAGAGGAGAGGTATTTGTGGGCATAACATCGGCAGCTCGTGGGGGATTTCCTGCTGCCGTTCATAGAGGCTGGAAATTAAGAGCATATAGAGTTTTAAAGGTTTGTGGTAAAAACCGCAAGTAGCAGAATATAAAATTGAATATTTTATGTCAGCAGGTTTTACCATTTTCAGTTAATTTGGGTATTTACAAACTTTTTCACCATAGTTTGTTAAAAATGTTTTAGTGCAGCAATAATGAGTTTGATCTCTTTTCCTTATAGCCTACATAACCATCCATTCTACCTGCTTTTTTATAACCTTTGGAGTTTAACCCTATGATATTTATTTTTCATATGCAGAAGCAACAACAGCCTGAAAGTAGTTTCTGTCTCCCCCAAAAAAGCTCCTGGTTCAGCTTTTCTTATTGGTTGATGCTCCGGCGTCCAGCGGCAAAAGTTTAATTTTCAGAACCCCAATATCGAACGCTCAGATGCCTGGACGCCAGAACTCCCGGACGCACCGCTCCAGACACGCTGCTGAACCTCTCGTCGTCATCCCCCACAGACTTTGCATGTAAATTAGACGCCATTAGACAAACAATTTTCCTATTTGTTGCCTAATCTGCCAACAAAAATCCACCAAAGCTACTGATCAGCAGTGATATCCATGAAGGTACCTTTCGACTGGATGCGTTCACAGTTTGGCGAGATGATGACACACTTGACCTTCTTTAGTTTGAGGTGTTTCAGGACCTCTCGAAGGCCCATCACAATCCGCCTCTTCATTCGGGCCTTCATGGGATCCTTCTGGTACAGCCGATCCTGGAAGCGGACCAGCTCCTTCAGAAGCAATGTCACGCACTCGTCCAGATCTTTCCTCAACATCTGGCTGCAGTAGCTGACACCCAAATGAGAAGCAAATCATTAGAAAAGCCGTTGATTATTGTCTTTAAAGCTACATACATGGATATGCAGGAAATGTTTTTGTGGCCTCACTCTCTAAACTTCCTGCTGTGAATTTTGGGAACGTTGGTCTGTTGGGGCTCAGAGGCGCTGAGGTCTTGCTGGTTACCAGCATCTTTTTCTGTGTCTTCATCGGCCTCTTGTGTTTCAGGGTTTGTACCGTTTAAATTCAGCTGTTCATCAAATTCTTGTGAGAAACTCTGAATCTCTTCTGAAAAAGACAAGCATAATAAAGGAAAAATTACTCAGTAATGCTAAACTAAAAATTCCCCAAAAAGTAGGTTTACTTCCAACCTGGGTCATTTGAGTCGTTCTGCTCCTCTGTAGCATCGTTAGCAACTTCAGAATCATTTTCAGGCAGCAGTCCTCTCTCCTCTAGCAGACGTCTCTGTTTTCTCTCTTCCCTTTCTTTTAAAATGACCTGAATTTCCAAGAATATAAAAAATGTTTTATGACTAATAGAATTTAGCACCTGAAAACCATATTTTAAAAAAATAAAGTATAAAGCATTAGTAACTTTTTTTAATAGTCATGTAAAACCCAACTGACTATGATTAAATATTTTTTTATACTCCAAGAGTCTGTCCTGATGGAGCTCTGATAGTCATCTTTGAGCCTAAATAGAAAGCAAGCACTGGGCACTATTAGTCGACATAAACCACCATGGCGCCATCTACAGGCAACACAGTTGAACTAACAGAAAGCCGGATAGTGACCAATGACGCAGTTACTAAATAAGTGACAACCGTGCTGCAATGCCTTGTGGGAAAACAGATGGCAGAGGATAGGGATAAGGAACTCCCAGCAGTATAAAAAAATATTTTAAAAAAAGAGAAAATAGAAGTCCAAGATCAAGTGTAAAAAGGTACCAGGTGTTTCCAGGAGGGATAAAGCTTGGGTTGTGCTGGTTTAACAGTTTGACTGTTGCTGTGAAGTTCAGAAACATTTGAGTACATGCTAATAGTGCTAATTTTGTTAGCAATGGTTTTAATCCCCATCCTCTGCCGTCTGTTAGACATAACTATAACCGTCAGGAGCTACAAACAGAGACCTGATCTAAGAAGATTAGTGCAGCTCACCTTCTTCAGTGGAGTAGGCTTCTTGGCTTTAGGCACTTCTCTTTGCTTTCCTTTTTTAACTAAAGGGCTGGTAGAGTCCAGTGGATTGTGTGCGATTTTATCCTGTTGCCAGGGTGATTTTTTGACAGCCGTCGTCTGCTTCTGGACCACTGGTAGTCCTCCACCAACTACAACAAAGAAAATACAGCTTTACCGTGTTTTTAAACCCTGTTATGGAAAGTCTTGTGTTTGGGGTTAGCCAATGACCAACCAGAGAGAATGACCGGCTTCGTGTCCTGCTTCGATTTTTGAGTCTGTTGCTTTTTTTCCAAGACGGCCAACATGTTACCGATGTCCAGCTGGACTGGGGCCTTGCTTTTTTTCCCCGACACTTTCTCTGCTTTCTAAATAAAACATTTTTTAAAAAATCAGGGCTAGATCATAGAAACAGAGCCGAACTAAATCAGACCATATAAGAGTCTTTTTGTTCCTTATTTCCATGCACATGCATTAAAAACACACTACCTCATTGCATAGCTTTGCTCTGCTGCTGGTTGATAATTTTTCAACCCCAGTTAAACCCAGTGCCAAGTCAGGAAATTCTTCTGCATCCTAGAAAAAAAAAAATAAAAAAATATATATATATATATATTCTATAGGTTATTAGAAGCAGTTTAATATTAGAAGATTTACCTCAAGCTTTGGAGGCTCATAATGAAACGGGCTCTCTAAATCTGGTTCTGCATCTTCAGCGTTGCTTTTGGATTTCTTTTTCCGCTTTCGCTTTTTCTTTCCTGCAGTTCCCTCCTCTTTAGGGGCAGTGATGTCTTTTGTCTAAAATACAATATAACAATCAAAAGGTTCCTCTAAAAATTAAAAAGTATGTATCCTTCAGAAAGACATACAGAGATCTTTAAAAAACAAAATAAATAAGACTGGGTTTTATTAGTTTAGCAAAGCTGCAGAAAATTAATAGTGGGGCCAGAATATTCAATTTCTTAGTAATTGTAAAAAACAAGCAACATATATGCAAACTTTTTTTTCCCACACAACACAAGGAATGCCTTTTTAACTAGAGATCAATTATGGTAGCATCATATTAATGCAATTATGATCCAAATAAAAATGTTTCAGCCATTAAAAAAGGTCATACAGCATTAGGTAGGTTGGACGAATCTATCAACCACCAACGATAGAGAAATTATTTTGTTTCTTTTTGGAACCTACGGGTTAAGACGCAGCCAACGAAAAAAAAAAATACTTTTTTTATTGGTACACAAAAACCTTTATACAGCCGAACCAGAGAGAGGCAGTTTTTCCTTTTTTTTTTTTAATTACGGATTGGATTTTTAACACAAAAAAATTTTATAAAAAAAATAATAAAAAAAATTATATACATATACACATATATATA